AGGGAGAAGCAGGCTTCCCGCTGAGCAGGGAGCCCGATGCGGGGCTCGATGCCAGGACCCTGGGATCATGACCTGAGCTGAAGGCAGATGCTTAACAACAGCCACCCAGGCGCCCCCACCTTTGTTCTTAATCATGTACTTGTAGACAATCTCTTAGAGAATTTTTCATCCCGCTGAGCTTGAGGCACCAGCAGATGATCTCAGTGGAATTGCCAAGTGGATGGTTAAGTAGAGATGTCAACAGCAGAGAGAGAGAGAGTGTTTTCCTTTGCGAGTCATGGAACTTTCATATGCAAATTGCTAAAGGAATAAGCCCATGATGTGAACCAGCACCGCTGGACTGATGCCTAGAGGCAGGGCAAGAGGAAGCATCTGTTTGAGCTGCAGAATGGAGAGGAAGTGGACAGCTGACAGGTACCTACAGTTCCATAGTGTGGTCCTGAAATGTCCGGCAGCACCTGTAACTCCAATTTCTTCATTTCTAGCCACAGTCCAACTTAAGGCTCCTTTCTACAATCTAGGTAACCTGATAGATCAATTCATGTCAAAGTGTTATTAGACAGCCTTCGGAGTAACATTAGGTGCATTTTAACAGGGTATTTCCAGCCAGGCATAAAGAGGTAGCCCAAGCGAGTGACTCCAGTTGAAGGAATTTTGAATATCTCCTTAAGACCAGGAGAGAGTTGGAGCTGCTTCTCATGATTTCCCTACATAGTTAGTCTCAAATGTATATACGCATATGATTTCTAAGTTTTAAATGATTAGGAAAACAGGGAATGTCAATTTTTGTCTCCTGAGTTCATCTTTCATCTGTTACATCTACATGATTTTGTTTTGTTTTATTTAGCAACTTACCAACCACATTCGAGATACCCTGCCAAACTTCAGGAACAAGCTACAGGGACAGTTGCTCTCCATAGAACATGAAGTGGAAGCCTACAAAAACTTCAAGCCAGAGGACCCCACCAGGAAGACCAAGGCATTGCTGCAGTGAGTCCTCCTGCCCTCCCTTGTTCAGCATTTGAAACTCATTTCTTCAGTTTGCTTTTTGTCGTGCTATTTTCTAGAAAAAGCACGTAATGTGTACAAGACTTTGTGTATGTTATACAATGAGCCTCGAGTCTTTATGTGTTCTTGAAGAATCATCGTTGATCTTATTCTATTACTATAGATTGAACCAGTTGCCCATCCCCGTGCCCAGTTTCCTTGCTCTTTGATAATTGGATTCCGTAAATGAGTAAACCCAATAGTGATAACTCAGCAGGGTTTTTGCCCTTAGTCTTTAGAAGTGGACACAGCTCCTGTCAAAAGTGTCATCTGTCTTGTACAACTGTTTCTACCAAGGTCACTCGTACTTATTATCTTCTTATGTCAGTCATTTCATGAGATTTATCTGTGTACATTTTTCAGGGGAATGAGAACCACGCTTTCATAATTAAAGTATGGACAATAAAGCCACATTTAAGTATCTTTTTACCCTTTTTGGTAATGATTTTAATGTAGCTCTTTAAAAACACAAATGTGAAAACTGCCAGGTATCTTCTTACTCCTCCATGATCTTCCCATCTTATCCTTGGGTTACTAGGTGTATCCCTGAGGGGTCTTGGTAGGACAGCAGAGTCGTTAGAGAATTGCCAGCTCCTTATGTCTTTTATCTTTCTTCCTTTTTTTTGCCCCTCCCAGCCTCATCTGCCCTCTACCCCTCTGCTGCAGCTTACCTCAGGTCCCTGTCAACCAGAAGACCCTCCGCCCAGCTGATCTTCCAGGGCATCCCAAATCCACTTCCAGGGATGGTGCTTGCCACCTCTTATGGTCCCTTTTTTCCTGTGCAGCCTTGCAATCAAGGTGCCCTTAATTTGGTGTTCAAAATGCATGACAAAATTCCTTTCTTTGTGGAGCTATTTCTAAATGCTCAAATTATTTAAGTAAAAATTTAATGTAACATCTTACATTTCCTCATTTAAAAATACAGAATCATACAGAGGAAAGAATTTTTTCTTAGATTCAACTCTTTCCTAGTTTATCTTTTTATTCTTGGCTTTGGTTAAGCTCCTATAAAAACTCTTCAAGTTACAGAGAAAAGAAAGCTATTTCTGTTTAGGCCCTAGGTCATCATCTTAACATCCAACTGAAACTACTCTCCTTACAAATACTACGCTTGCCTCTGTGACTCCATTGGATTCAGGTTACAGAATTTTCCACATCTGGATTCTTCCCTTGTAGGGGGCTGATCAGCTCCTTCCTCTCTTCCTCCCTCCCTCTCTGGTTTCTTTCTTCCCCTCTTTCCACCCGCCTCTCTTCTTGCCTTCCTCTTAGCTCTTTGTGTTCAACTTGTGTCTGGCTCTGTGCTATCTACTGGAGATTCAACAATGAATAAGACTTTTGCCCTCAAGAAGAGGCCAGAGAAGAGCAAGGGAAACAGACATATAAGCAACTAACTGTGTTAAAATCTGATAAATGCTATGTTTCTGGTAAGTATAAACTGTTAAGGGAGCCCAGATGAGGAAGCAGTTACAGGTGAGGAAGGTTGTGAGTTCACAGAGGAAAAGATACTTTAATGAGAACCTAATGTATGGGGAGAGTTTGTCATGTGGATGAGGAGGCCAAGAGAATAGTGTCAGATTGTTTACAGCTTGTTGTAGTGGGCCTGGAGGCTGGAGTGTAGGCTGGAGGTAAATTTCCTAAAATGTCCCAGTCTTTCAGTGCTTTCTCATGTATATACCTTCTGGTATATAGGTGGTTAAAAATTAGATTAACATGGGCATAGGCATACACATAGCTACATCAAATTGTATTCTGAATTTTCTGGCCTAATTTGCAGTTTTAATTCATCCAGGATTTTGATGAAAGAGAATAAAGGATACAAATCTTATATGGTTTGAAATTTTTCCCGTTGAATTTTGAATTTGAAAGTAGTACCAGCATGCCAAAATTAGTTTCTACATCTAACAATAGAAAATGCAAGTAGGTTGTTATTTTCCCCCTGTAAGATATTTCTTCGGTTTTTACCAACTACCTTAAGGTAACTCATCCCTTCATTGAAGTTACTGAGTACCTTTCATATATTAGGCAGTGGGAGATAAATAAAATGTGTGGTCCTTGCCCTTAGGAGAGAGACTGACAGGTGAACAAGAGTGATGGACTCTGCTAAGTGCTGTGCTGAAAATAAGCTGAAGGAACAAGGAAAATAAGCTGAAGGAACAAGGAGCAATAAGGAGTGTGGCAGATAGGACCGTGGAAAGTTTCCTGGAAAAACTATTGCTTGAACTGAGTCTTGAAGGACAGATAAAAATTAGCCAGGCAGGGAAGCAAGGGGCAGAAGGGAAAACAGATGTACAAGCACAGAGACATGGTACATGTAGGGACCTGGGCATAGCTTCTTTCTGGTTGGCTTAGAAGGTGTGTGGATGAGTAGTGAGAGATGGAGCATACAGGGCCAGACCACGGAGAATCTTGAGTGATGGGTTAAGGAGTTTTAATTTTATTATCCAATTGTGGGGAATCATTGAAAAACAAGGCTAGAGCTAGTTGTAGAGGGGGATGGGGGTCACCAGTTTGCATTGTCTGTGATGCTGGGGGCGGGGAGGAGAGGAGCTCACAGAGTAAGAGGGGGCTCATCGGGAGCAGTTAGAACACTAGGCGAATGTGATGTCATAGGAACCGAGGGGCATTTTGACTCTTCTATGTAAAGTTTTACTGTTTAACTTTAATTCCTAATTTAAGTATTTTTAAATACCACTTTATGGTTTCAATTAAATGGACAGAATGCATCTAATGACACAGATATTTATGCTATGTATTTTAATTAACTGCCTAAAATAAATCTTAATAACATCTATGTCATATAATTACATTTTTGAGTGCTGAATAGAATGCAGTGCTCATTCTGCCAGTAGGTGCCAGTAAGGACACTAGGAAAAGGATTCTAAGGGCTCACATTGTAAATTAAAATGAGAAATGCAAAGCCTTGTAACTATAACTTGAATTTACTTCTCTTTCACAATTATAGGATGGTTCAGCAATTTGCTGTGGACTTCGAGAAGAGAATTGAAGGGTCAGGGGATCAAGTAGATACCCTGGAGCTCTCAGGAGGGGCTAAAATCAATCGTATATTCCACGAACGCTTTCCTTTTGAGATAGTAAAGGTTTGTACCAAATGTTATTTTTTTTTCCTTTCACTTCATTTCATTTCCATGTTCTGTTCTATATAACTGTTCATAAAATGTTATGGGAGTGGTATAGGACTGAGATAGATCTTTGAACAAAAATCTTCATACTCAGGTGATAAAATTTAGGAGAGAAGTATTTTCTTACTGATGGTTCTGATCTTATTTACTTAATGGGATCTAACAACATTTCAAATTATTTCAACAAATACTAACTGAGTTCCTATGAAGTTTATTTGTTGTCTAATTAATTTAAAAATATTTCTTGAGCACCTATTCTGTGCCAAAATTCTAGGTGCTAGTGATCAAGAAAGAGGCACTGTCTGGTGGGGAAAGACAGAGAATTTTACAAATAGACAAAGTAAGAAAACATAAAATGTTATTATGTAACATAATGTTAGAGAAAGGGGTTGAGGGAGCCACTTTCTTTTTTTTAAAGATTTATTTGTTTTAGAGAGAGAGAGACAGCATAAGCGGGAGGGGCAGAGGGAGAGGGAGAGAGAGAATCTCAAGCAGACTCCCTTCTGAGTGCAGAGCCTGATGCAGGGCTGGATCCCAGGACCCTGGGATCATGACCTGGGCCGACACCAAGGGTCAGAAGCTTAACTGACTGCTCCACCTCGGTGCCCCGAGTGAGCCACTTTTGATGGGATATTTCAGGCAAGGTCCTTCTGAGTAGGGGACATCCAAAGCATGACCAGAATGGAATGAAGAGGTCAGCTGTAAGGATCTTGGGGAAGAGGGTCATTCAGGGTAAGCAGCTGAGGACGAGGCTGTACAGCAAGCATCTGTACAGTGGGTGAAGGACAGATGAGGCTGGTGCAGAGCTGATGAGGGGGCAGGGGTCCGCCATGAATTCAGAGGAAAGAAGTGCCCAGTTTACGCAGGGCGTTCCAGGTTGCAGTGAGGTATTTGCATTTACTAATGAGAAGTTAGGGGGTAGTTTTACGAAAAGGTGTGACCTGATTTGGTGGATGATTTTATTTTATTTTATTTTATTTTATTTTTAAAGATTTTATTTATTTATTATTTGAGAGAGCGAGAATGTGAGAGAGAGAGCACATGAGAGGGGGGAGGGTCAGAGGGAGAAGCAGACTCCCTGCTGAGCAGGGAACCCGATGTGGGACTCGATCCCGGGACTCCAGGATCATGACCTGAGCTGAAGGCAGTCGCTTAACCAACTGAGCCACCCAGGCGCCCTTGGTGGATGATTTTAAAAGAACACTTTGCAGGCTGGATCTTAAAGGGGCAAGAGTTGATTTTGGGAGACAAGTAAGGTGAGTTAAACAGTAGGGCCAGAGCAGGAGTGAATCTACTTTCTGTGGGGCCTAAAGTTTATACAGTTGGGGGGCGGGCGGCTTTAAAGAAGAAGAATACAAAATTATAAACACACAGTTAGGCACAGGGTCTTGGAAGGTGCTTATGTAAGAGAGAAGCCCTGAACCTTAATCTTCTTTAGCTTCACATTAAAAATGCCCCAGAAGAGAGGATTGGGAAAGTGGATGGATTTGTGATTTTGGAGGTAGGGTCAGTAGGGCTTGGGTTGATATGGGGGATGCAAGAAAGAAGATTCAAGATGATTCCCTAAGGCTTTGGCTTGTACAACAGCAAGTGTTAGTGGCCATCAGATGAGGGAAACTGAGCAAAAGCTGAGTTTGTGTAGAGGTATGAACTGAGAGAGTTTTATTTCGGCTCTGCTTAGGTTGGCTTGCCCATTAGGCGGCTAAGTAGTATTAGGGACTCTGCTACTTGTTTCACATACAGAGGAAGGTGCTTATGTCTTGGTGTGGGAGGAAAATGGGTAAATAGATGGTTTCATTAAAACGTGCTAAGTAAAGTGATAAACTTCAGCACAGGGTGCTATGGAAACAGCCTACAGACCCGAATCCCAGACTGAGTGCTTGAGGGAGCCTGGCTTCTGAGCTGAGTTTGGAAGGATGAGCAGCTAGTCAAGTAGGAGGGGGTTGGGCCCTGGGGTTGTTCCAGATAGAGAAGGAGGAATAGTAAAGTCTGAGCTCTGGGGAACAGGGTGTAGGTAGGAAACTAAAGCAATTCATTGTTCTATGGTATAAAGTGTGAGGGGGAAAATGGATAGACAGTGAAGCTGGAGAGGCCAAATCTCAGAAGTCAGGGGCTGAACCAAATGTGCTCTTGATATACCTTTTAGGTCTAAGCTCCATGACACTTTGATCCTAATTCCACATAAATTTAAAGTACCTAGAACTTCTGGGAAATTTTTTTGCAGCCATCTATCCTACATTGGATTGGTAAAAAAATATTATTAATTTCCTCTTGTAAAGAGGCCTTGAATGCAGGTGGTTAAAATGGCCCGGGAGAAAAGACAGCCATTGTTAATCTCAGCACAGCTGGACCGCTGTTGCATGTCAGGTGACACTCTTATTTATGCATTTGTCTGTGAATACATTTATTACATTCAGCAAAAGAATGAAGAATTGTATATTTCATATGAATGGCCAGATTTATGTCCAGAAGGCATCCTTTATGCATAGTGCTCCTATCTATAATAGAGTTAAAATCCACTACACTAAAACTCCCAGAAATCCCCAATGTTCTATGTTGCCTTGAACTTTATATAAGCAGATGTTTTGACCATCTGGGTTTAAGTTAGGAAAGACATGAGTATCCATTTATTTATAACAAAGTCAAGTTCTTCTCATTTTTTAATATTCAACAATATTATTATTCAGAGGAATTAAGTGTCATAACTGTGGCTCATTTTGCATCTGCAGATGGAGTTCAATGAAAAAGAATTGCGAAGAGAAATAAGCTATGCAATCAAAAACATACATGGTATCAGGCAAGTGATTCACATTTTCCTTGTCTCAGTTCAAGCTACTGAAAGAAAATTAATGTTTATAAATGGCTAGTGAAGTAGACTTTTCATCATCAGAGCAGAATAGAATACAGAGGTGAGAGTAAGAAATAGGAGACTCTCGCTTGAGTTTAATGGTAATTTCCTGTATTGTCATACTCACAAAAGAAAAGACTTTTCAATTAAAAAAAGCAGAAACACTTCCTGCACTCACAGCACTGTGCTCTGCACAATTAGGGATTTGCCAGTGAGCAAGACCTTGTTCTCCAGAGCCTTGCATTTTAGGGATGGAGGCCTGACATGCTCATAAGGAATCATTACTTACACAGAGACAGGACAGATAAATTTTGGCCGCAGTTGTGGGGGAAGATTGGGAGAGATTAATGAAGGTCGTGACTCTTGAGTTGAACCTTGCCTGTATAGAGAACAAGAATGATTTCAACAGGCAATGGTGTGCTGTGTGTTTACACGTGCGTGTGTGTGTGTGTATGTGTGTGTGCATGAAACATGAGAGGCTGGGAATTGTTGAGGCAAGAAGATAAGAGAAGGGGCTTAAAGTGGAAAAGAGTAGTGTGAGCAAAGGCATAGGGGTGGTGAAGTGCAGCAGGGATTCATGGAGCGGGGAGTCGTGCATTTTGACTGGACAGGAGAGCAGCAGGACCTGAGGCTCCGAGGGGAGCTTGTCCCTTGTGTGGAAGTTGGTGTGGAATTTTCCCTTGTATAAAATGGGATTATTTTCATTTACTTTCTTTAAAGCATTATGATAAGAAAAAAATGAATTAAAAAAAAGAAAAAAATGAATTTAAAACACACGTTTCTTGAGTTCATGTACAGAATTTAATGGAACATATATTAAATTTCCTGAATTTAAGGTATTGAACTTAGGTTGCGTACTTCATAGATGATCTCATATGAAGGAGGTGTCCCCTGTCTATTGGCCACTGTGTCTCAGCTTCTGCCATAGGTCAAGATGAGACTATTTTGGGAGCAGAGCCTGAGAGGGCAAAGCTTGACAATGAATGTATATGTGAAAGGAGTCAGGACATTTGAATTCTCTGTCATTTTAACACTCAGACAATCTGCTCTGCAAGTTGCAGATATGATAGGTAAATATGCATTCACAAAGTAAAAGGGAGGAAACATTCTATAACCAAATCCAGTATTTTTCTCTGACTGTCAGTAGGATTTCTAAGTTCCTTATTAATTCTATTCTGTTGCCCTCAAATCTAGGATACATTTGGTATAGAAACTGTGTCTTGCTCTTGAGCTGGGTGGGACTAGTATTCAAACATGTCAATCTGATAAGTGCAGTGAAACCAAATCACATTTTTTGGGTCATGAAGTATTTTTGTATGTACTTACTTTACAGTAAAAGTAAAATACAGTACTTTTACTTGGCTTTTCAAACTTCTTACCATATACATTTTTGCTGAATGCAACTGCAAGAGCTCACTAATTCAGTTTTGAAGATTTCTAATTTACATGCATACCAAAAGAAGAGATTGGTTGTTTTTTATTATTCTGGAATTAATTTGCCTGTAAGATGATAAGAAGGGCACAGTGTCCTGAGAATAAGACATACTCATGGCATTATTCGGCTCTTAAATACACTTAATATGAAAAGTTTTGTTTCCAATTGATTATTAGATATTTGAGTAATAGAAGCCATCTTTGTCCACTGCAGACCTACTGGTCCATCTTTGTTTGGCAGGCACTGTGTGGCAATGAGGAGCAAGGGAGGAAGACAGTCCTTGTGGGGCAAACAAAGATAAATGCAGTCATGACCTTTCTACCAGGGCAATAGTGGGACTATGCATGCTGAGACCACTGCAATGCAAAATAGGATGTTGGGGTTCAGAGAAGGAAGACCTTGTCAGGGGCAGGACTGGAGAAGGCGAGCTTGAGGAAGTGGTTGCTTCTGATCTGGGCTTTGAAGCGCAGGTGGGACTTGGACAGGCTGAAAGTGTGGGGAGGGCAAAGTGAACCTCATGGACAGAGGCAAAGAAAGAAAACGTTAGTATGAGTGTGTTTGTGGAAAGGCCAATGGTTGGGTTTGGCTGAAACATAGGGTGCATGAAAGGGAGGAGGCAAATAACTGGAACGGAAGATTAGGGTCAGGCAGGGAAATTTTTAATGTTAGACCAAACAGTGTGGATTTTATTCTGCATCCAATGTGGAGAAACTTCAAGTTATAATATCGTATGATCACTACAGTTAGAAAGAGAGGTGCGCGTAGGGTGCTAAAGTAAATGATTAGAAGGGACCAGAATAAAGCTGCTGTAAGGGAACTGTGGAAGAAATTTCCCCAAAGAAACACCGCAGAATTGAGTGGTGAAGGAGGAGAAGTTAATGGAAGAAGGAGAATTGAGAAGAGGGAGGGAGAAGGGCCTGGGGACGACGAGGGTCAAGCACCAGCATCTGGCATCTGCAGGGCTTTGGGCGTGATGATACTTGGGGTTCATGGTCCCTCTTATGGTAGCTTTTTTCCAATGGCCTTTTATTTAGATGTAATCATTTTTTCACTTTTTATCACACACACACACACACACACACACACACACACACACACACACACACACCTGCTTTCCTGAGCTCCTGCCCAGCATGAGAAAAGCATTGTTATGACACCAATTTGAATTAATTCTAGCCAAGTGAAAAGATACTTGCTATTTTGGTTGTCATTTGTTATTTTTGTCAACTCACAATTTAGGCATCCTGGGTCCCAGGCTAGTCCCACTTACTTGTCTTCCTTTTCCTTTAGCACCCCAGGACCTTCCTTTTTCTCTAGCACCTGGAAACCACTGAGCTTGCCAGAATACATCTCTCCAGGAAAGAATAGATTGCATAGTCAGGAACACTACTATTTCACTGTTGACAAAATGAGGATTATTTTCTGCTCTATGAAGGAAAAGAGGGGCTTGCTTTTGGAATACTTTAGACAGAGAAATGGAAATTTAGGACACCATTTTTATTGTAGCATTGCTGTTTACTGCTGTGACGTGAGATAAGATGAATTACAGTTAAACATTAGTTACAGGTCATATTATTCCAGTCCATGAAAACATTTTGGGAACTGTTTTTAGGTAATGCTAATCATCTATAGAATGAAATTCATTATGAAATAGTAGTAGTGAAGATATCGTAATTTGTACATTTGTAATAAAAAATGATACTGTTGATAGAATAAATCACTATGTAACTTTTAAACTTGGGTATTACATGCTTGCTTTAGGTGGCATGTCAATTAAAACCTTTTTCAAAAAAGTATTGGATAATACTTAATTTAAAAAAAATCTAATGTCCTGCTTTCTTTCTTATATTCAGGACAGGGTTGTTTACTCCAGACATGGCATTTGAAGCGATAGTCAAAAAGCAAATCGTAAAGCTGAAAGGACCTTCCTTGAAGAGTGTAGATCTGGTCATACAAGAATTAATCAACACTGTCAAGAAGTGTACCAAAAAAGTAAGTTTGAATTATTTAACTTTCTAACAACTTTTTGGTTTACCCATCTTTCCTACCCTCCTACATGCCTCTCTTTCCCTGACCCCTCACTTTGTTGTAAAAGGTAGTATGTTTGCCCCAGGGGAAGGATTGTGAAAAGTATTGAGTGGGAGTTGCTTTCATGGTAGATGGGCAGGGATACTGTCTTCTATCACCCAGTGCCAAAGAGGGTTGCTTAAACCAGAAAGAGTATATTTTAGTCAGCTGTTTTTTCCTTATTGTCTTAAGCAGGTAAATATCACTTTAGAACAATTAGGTGAATGCCCTCAACTAATTTTTCTTATGGTGTATGGATGGGGTAATTGTTGGGGGAGGGAATCATTGACATTGTGTATATCAGTAAAAAAATTTTTAAATGTCCTAAATTTTAAATGAGTTCCATTTGAACCTGGACATTTTGGGAAGCAGCAGTTAGTGTAGTAATAAAGACGCCAGGCTCTGAGGTCCAATTACCTAGATTTAAATCTTGGCTCTGCTACTTACTTTCTGTGTGACCTTGAGTATCATACTTAATCCCTTATAGTCTTTTAAATTTCTTTGTGAAAAGAAGATGATAATAATAACAATACTACCTCCATGAGAATTAAGCATGATGATGCCTCAAACCAATGGGGCACTTAACACATTGATTAACCATAGCAAGTGCTCAGGAACTGGTTGCTAGTCTATAAATGGCCATTTTAGTAGCACCCAGTACTCTCTACTTTGTGGTATTTGTTGAATCTATGAAATAGAGTAGTGGGGGAGAGATTTCCCCTATGGGGGACTCCTCACTGAGGAACATAGAGGAATTGTGCTGGATTCCATCCATTCTATGGGGGCATGAAAGGGATACCCTGTGTTAGAAACTGTAAGAAGGGAGTTAGTGATGATGTTTAGGGTAGGGCAGGCCTAACCCCATGGCATTCAACACTGGTACTTATTTCTTGAAAGTATAGATTGTTCTGGTTTTGTAGGTTTTGTTACCCTTCCCTTTCTGTATGGTTACTATGAGTAACCTCCCTGAAGAACCAGTGGGAAGAGAGACAGATAATGTAGATGAATATGAATTTGGTTTCCAGTTACCTGGCAGAAAAAATCAGATGAAGAAAGATGTAAGTAGTGAAAGAGGAGAGCCAGCTAAATCCCTAGATGCCAATGCTAAAAGAAAAGGAGATAAGAGGGGAATAGCTTGGGGCCCAGAAGTGGCCCTGGAGCTTCAGACTTTTTCTCTAGACCTCTTATTATTCTTCTACCTTGTTCCTTAATGTCCTAGTTTCTTTCCTCCCAAATGAGAAAAGCCGTAAGAGTTAAGGGACTGAGGAAATGGAAGAGGATGCATGTTGAGTAGAAAAAAACTGCAATCTCTACACCAGCTCTCCATTTGAACACTTGAAGCCCATCGATAATACTTCACATTCCTATTTGTCCTTGCCTGTACCTCAGTGTGTGGTCACTCTTTCCACCTGTATAGTTAATGCTCTCCTCATTGGCCACCTTGGAAGTGATGCTGAATTAGCTGATGCTGCCTTCTCTGTTAGCCACATGGTCACCACCCTCAGCACATAGATGTTTCCAGCCAAAAGCTTCCCTTGAGATTGCCCATGTGCTTCTGTTCCCACCAGGAAAGCTATCTTTTTCCCAAGAGCCCATTGTGTTGTCCTTGTCCTCAAGCCTATTTAGCCAGTTGTATTTCTTATTTTAATCATGTTGAAATGAAGAGCAAATGAACTGGTCAAACACAGAAAAGACTTTGAGTTTTGTTTCCATAAACACAGCTTTGGAAAGACTTGATAAACATTAGCTATAAAAGCTTTTCTGTTGACGAGGTGTAGGCAGGACAATGCCGAAAGAAGGTGGGGAGAGTTATAAAAATCTAGATGGGCTCTGCATTCAGATTATTTTACAAGTGTCTTCAGGTTCTCCCTCTGCTTTAAAGAAAGCCAAAGTAGAAATCATAGATGAAGGATGTGGTTTATATAAGACAGAAGACGCATAACTCCAATCAGCAGATCCATATGCAGAGAACAGGCCTTGGCCTTACATCAGAAGATTGTCACATGTGTGTACATTTATGTTTTAAGTTATATAGAGTGTTTATGGTATGTATGAATCATTTTTTTTTTATCATTTCCCATTGTATTCAACTTGCAGGAAAACCCACAGTCAGTCCTGATGACATGGGCAGAGACAGCTTGTTCCTGGACACTTTTTGGCTTCTATTCTTTTGCTGTCCACCCTTTGAACCTCCCTTTCCATTATGCTCTCTGGATCAATGGTAGCTGTATATTTGTACTGTCTTCTGAAAACACTGTATATATTGTCTTAAATAAAACCTCGCTTTCTCCCTGAGATTATTGCTTACGCTGCATCTCTCTTATTGGCTCAAACCCAAAGAATCTAAGGGCCTGCATCAGGCTTGACATCTGCCCACTTCTCCTTCTGTGGCTTCCAAATATTATGCCTTCAACATCCTGTAAAATTCTTCAGTGAAGGCCCCAATGGTACCAGCTCTGCTTTTCCCTTCTATTCACTGTCACCATCACATCCTAGTCACTCCCTTGAATTTGTCAGGATATTTAGAACCTCACTTACATTTTTCCTCTTCATCCTAAATTCACCTTCAACTTGGATGATTTCAGTAGAGATCCATGTAGGGATCGTGTCCAACATCTAGTAGCTACTGTTCTTTGAGATCTTTGACTCCAGTGTCTCTCCATTCATTCCACACTGGTATGATACTGGCATGACCTCTTGTGGGCTTTATCATCATTGACAAATGTTCTACCAGGATACCCTTCAGAAATTTCTTTAAATTTTTTATTGTTATGTTAATCACCATACATTACATCATTAGTTTTTGATGTAGTGTTCCATGATTCATTGTTTGTATATAACATCCAGTGTTCCACGCAGAACGTGCCCTCTTTAAAACCCATCACCAGGCTAACCCATCCCCCCACCTCCTCCCCTCTAGAACCCTCAGTTTGTTTTTCAGAGTCCATCGTCTCTCATGGTTCGTCTCCCCCTCCAATTTCCCCCCCTTCATTCTTCCCCTCCTGCTATCTTCTTTTTTTTTTCTCAACATATATTGCATTATTTGTTTCAGAGGTACAGATCTGTGATTCAACGGTCTTGCACAATTCACAGCACTCACCATAGCACATACCCTCCCCAATGTCTATCACCCAGCCACCCCATCCCTCCCACCCCACCCCCACTCCAGCAACCCTCAGTTTGTTTCCTGAGATTAAGGATTCTTCATAACAGTGAGGTCATATGATACATATCTTTCTCTGAATGACTTATTTCACTCAGCGTAACACCCTCCAGTTCCATCCACGTTGTTGCAAATGGCAAGATCTCATTCCTTGTGATGGCTGCATAATATTCCATTGTATATATATACCACTTCTTCATTATTCATTCATCTGTCGATGGACATTTTGGCTCTTTCCACAGTTTGGCTATTGTGGACATTGCTGCTATAAACATGGGGGTGCATGTACCCCTTCGGATCCCTACATTTGCATCTTTGGGGTAAATACCCAGTAGTGTAATTGCTGGGTCATATGGTAGCTCTATTTTCAACTTTTTGAGGAACCTCCATACTGTTTTCCAGAGTG